ATATGTAAAAAAATATGTTTATACATTATATAAAAATTTTGACGAACTCTGCATAAAAGTCTCATTATATTCGAAAAATTAACAATTTGGTCTCATGACCTGCTGAACATGTCAAAAAGGGCTAAAGTGAATAAGTTATCCGGTTTCTTGGGCTTTTCTATTCAAAATGTGAAAAAGTCATGACTTTTTTATTCAAAAAATAAAATTTAGGATTTTATTAAAAATTTGCCCAAAATATTGAGACTTTTCTGGAGATATCCCAAAAAATATATATATAGTTAATTATCATCTTCTAAAATATATTTTTTTCCTGCTATTCTCTACGTTATCAGAATATCACATGACTACTGAAAAATCTTATGAAATTACGAACATCAAATTGTATATTCCACTTATTCTAGACGTTGATTGTCTCGATTATGATGCATGAAGATAGATTTTTGAAACCCAATACATAGGGTTGAGTGTTTTTTTAATCTCTAGACAAAGCAGAAGATAAACCCCCGACCCCTAATTTAGACAAATCCTAATAGAATCAAATCAATTCAATCATCAAGATGTAGATAGGGCTGCAAACGAGTCAAACTACTCACGAGCTACTCGGGATCGACTTGGTAAAAACTCGACTCGAGATCGGTTTTTAACGAGACCGAGCCGAGCTCGAGCCTAATTTTAGGCTTCTTTATTAAACGAGCTCGAGCCTACGTAACAAAGATCGATTAGGCTCACAAGCCTAAACGAGCCTATATATAAATATAGAGAATTTAAATATCATCCTAACAATTTGTTCCTACTTTTCCTCCTACCATATGAAATGTTGATAAGTGGATTAAATTATTATTAATTTCATTAAATGTCTAATTAAATGTAACACATGTCAACATTTGATATGGTAGGAGCATAAGTAGGAACAAAATGTAGGAGGATATTTAATTTCTCATATAGAGAATATATATTTTTTATTTTTATATTTTATATATTAAAATACAAATTTAGAAAATTAGGGAATTAGGATTTGGTCTTTATGGGAAAGTTTCATTCACGTTTTCATATCGGGAGCTGATTCGTACACAACAATTTTTCTCCATACACAACAATTGGTGCTTTAAAATGTTGTATTGTACAACTATATAATGCATGAATTGTTGTGTATGGCAAAAAACTGTTGTGTACGAATCACTTCCCTTTCATATCAAGGAAAATGAACATCCATTCTACCACTCCTCAAGTCTCTCTCCCGTTTCTGTGATTCGTTGATCTGGCAAAGCCTATCGGCGACGACCACGCACCACGACGACCATCGAAGTATGCCTTCCAATCGAGCGTCATCGTCCGACATCGAGCACCGTCATCTGACATCGTGTTATCTCAAATCTACGTCAGCACTCTCGTATTCACCGTCTTCACTAGTTATGATCACTTTTATCTTCCGACGTCAGCACTCTCTCTCTCTCTCTCTCAGCCTGAGTTGACAAAATGGTTTACTGGCTCAGTCGTTCAAATATCTTTTTTCTAAGTTGTAATCATGAATGGAGTTTATGCAAAGAAGTATAATATCTTCAAAGTTTTTCCACAGGTATAATACGAGTTTATGGTATCCACTATTAATTACCAATTTATTACAATTTTTCTGCTGTTTTACTTCAACTTTCTATCACCCTACATATAGATTTCGAGAAAGATGACATTAATTTATCAAATTCTCCCTCATTTGTTAAAAAAACAATGAAATACGTTTTGTTGTGATTGACCTTTGTCATCTCACTCATTTGTTTTGTTTTTTTTTTCTGCTGAGTTGAAGACAACTTATTATTTTCATCAGTTCCGTTTTGTTGACATCTATTTCATTTTGTGTATGATTAATTGATTATCAAATAACTCGTATTAATGATACTATTCATGCTAATTATTCAAGATCCTTATCAGCAAATATATTTATGATGAACTAGTATGCTTATTATTTATTAAATGTACATATATTAACATATGTTCTGTTATAAACCATGCTCGGATTTTATGGATGGTGGTGTGAGTTCTGATCCAATGGAAGTGGTTGAGAATAAGGAGCAATATGCTCCTATAAATCTAGATGTTGATGAACAACCAACTCCTCAGAATTATATTCCAAGTGACAATGGCAATATTGGACAACAAAATGAAGAAATCCAAGGGGAAAAAGTGGAAATAGTAGTGAAACGAAAACGAAAAAAAACATCAAAGACATGGGAAGGTTTCACTATAGTGACTATATATAATGGTACCAAAAAAGCTCAGTGTAATCATTGTAAAACAAAGTTAACTTACGGTGAAAGCGGGACCAGAAAAGTCAGAATTAGATATGTATTTGGAAGAAGGTGTTTATAGGGACGACAAACAAAAAGGAATGGATTCATTCAAGGCCTTGGAGCGGTGGAATGTTCATAAACTGAAGTACCGTGTTTTATTAAAGATGGCTATGGATGTGCTTGCGATCTGATTTCTACCGTTGCATCTGAGGCAACATTTAGTGTTGGGAGTAGATTAATTGATCCATATCAATCTTCATTGGCACCAGACACAGTTCAAAAGTTGATTTGTGGAAGAGATAGGATTAGACATCGTTATGGAATCAAGAAAAAAGTTGAAGGTACATTTGATAAACTTAAAACACATGAACTAACAATTGATTATTTAAATTAATTAATATTTGATCAGGTTGGTTTCTTTTTATAGAAGGAGGAAATGTCCATTGAGGTTTTATTACCTACAGGGACAAGTAATACTTAAAGGTGTAAGCCATTTTAATCTACTTCTAATTTTTTTTGTTTAATTACATTATATTGCACATCTCATAAAATATTTTAATTTTCAGATTTTGCTGGATTGAATTTGCTTCAAGGAAGATTGGCTTTGAGTTTTGTCACACCCCCGAACCAGACGGCCGAAACGTACGAGGGCTCGTGTGACTTAAATTGAAATATCATCACAATGAATATACATGAAACATAACATAAACATCACCATGCATTAATACATTACAACCGTCATTGTTCACATCCAGTACATTGTTTACATTACATAATCCCAAAAATAAATTGTTTATCAAATGACATCACATAAAAGACATTCAGACACATGCTTGATAATTCTTCATTCTAACGGTTACCTGAGAACACAAGTTATTTTGAAAACGGTCAACATATATATTGTTGGTGAGTTCATAAGCAGGTTTGATATGAAAATATTTTGTGTAGTTTGTAAAACCCAGAAAATCCGATATTTTCTGAAAAGACAATTGTTTACGAAATAGGTGTGATGATCCATAAGTATATGCGTGAATGATTTCAAAACGTGTAAAAGTAGTATGTTTCTCATAATGAATTCTTGCATTATAGTTGTCGAAAGTGAATAATGTTGTTCCCCCGGAAAACCCGATGTTTTCCGATATAAATAATATGATTGTTT